TATTTTGCTGTCTCCTGTTTATCAGCAAGGCTATGAGACTTCACAGATAAATATTTTCAAGTTCACATAAAAAGTGGAGCAAACATTTTGAAAGTGGATCTACATGTAAAAATTGTCTAACATAATGTCTAGTACATAGTAATCATTCCCAATGTTCCTTTTTCCATCTTTTAAAATATCTCCTCTCCCCCCACCCCCCTTAGCTTATTAAGAGCCATCTCTTACTTTCCTCATCTCTGGATCTGGCTGAGCAGGTAGTGATCATGTATCTTTGCTTTCTCTGTTTCATAATTGGTGCTACTCACTGAATTTGATACTAACAGTCTCTATTGGCCATTTATCTCTTCTCTGATGCAGTTTTTTTCCAGAAATAAAAGTGAAATGATTTCTGTTGATTAAATTATCTCTGGAGGTAATTCTATTAGGGCATTGGAAATGGCATGTAATAAAGTTCAAGGCTTCAGCCATCTTTGACATTTATATTACTTATTACATCACTAATTTTTACATATCTCCACTAAAATGCAACTTCCTTGTGATGTATTCAACTTTTAAACATTAGTTAACACAAGATAACATGCATTGTATAATTGGAAAAGCTTAAAATCAAACGTCATGTCTGTTCATAACAATATGTTTTTTCAAAAAATTAATCTATGCTTCGGTTCTCAAATTTAGAAATCAAGAATAATAATACCATGTGAGGATTAAATGAAATGAAAAATGTAAAATATCTAACATAATGCAATAAAAGTTAATGTCCACCCCTCCCATTTCCTTATTTTGTCTTTCAATTCATCCTAATTTTCTTTCTCTCTTCTCCAGACCTTAGCATCTGGGGATAAAATAAAGTGTCCTATCTATCTATATATCTATAAAGTGACTTTTTTTTTATATATTTAATAATTACAAAATGACATATACAAAGGCTAATGAGCTATCCTGATAAGAGTATTTTTTTATTTTATGTATTTTATTTATTGCACTCAAATTGAATTATTTCACTATTTTATAAAGAACATTCTTTTAAACTAATGCTAACCCCAATATCTTTTAATAAGTTGTATTTTTATTCTTTTTTAATTTTTTTATTTCAATATAGTTGGTATATAATATTATATTGGTTATATCAGTTTCAGGTATACATTATAATGGTTAGATATTTTTATACCTTACAATGTGGTCACTCCATTAATTCTAGTGAACATCTGTCACCATGTAAACTTATTACAATATTATTGTCTATATTCCCCTTCCCCTTTCCTCTCATTTCCTACCTTCCCTCTTCTAATAATCAACCCTTTGGCCTCTGTTTCTTTGAGACTGTTTTTGTTTTATTTTTTTGTTTATTTTTGTTTTGTTTTGTTTTCACATATAAGTGAAACCATAGAGTACTTTTGTCTTTCTTCCCCGGACTTATTTCACTTAGCATAATACCCTCTAGATCCTTCCATGGTGTCAAAAGTGGCAAGATTTCATTCTTTTTTATTGCTGTGTAATATTCCATTATATAGATATAGATATAGATATAGATACAGATATAGATCTCACATCTCCTTTAGATGTATATTTTTTAAATACAGAAAATATTTTGTTAAATCAATAAATATACTAATAGTGTCTTAATAAAGATTATTTATTCATTTATCTATTTTATCAAATAAATATTTATTGAAGGTTTACTTTATGCCAGAGGTAAACAAAGTAAAATTAGTTCTGTAATTGAATTTGTCTTCTTATGGTAAAGACTAGAAAAAAAAAACTATTTAAAAGAAACAAGAGCAAAAGAATAGAGTGTGACTGAGGCAGCTAGAGTGTTCAGAGAAGGCCTTTCTGGGGATGTGATTTTGAGAAAGAGTAGTTAGTGCCTAGGAAATATAAATTATAATAGTCCTGAGATGGGAAGACTGTTGAGATATTTGAGCAAAACGGAGTGGAGTGTGGTTGTAGCACATGAGAGAGGTTTCTAGAGGTCTTATTTTATTAGGCCTAATCAGCTATATTAAGAATTATAGATTTTATTATAAACATGAAGGAAAATACCAAAGGAGTGAGAGATTAGATATATAATAAAAACTTCCCTATTTATGATTTTGCTACCTTTATGTTGATAATTAAACTTTTAAACAAAAGTTTATATAATCTGTATATTACATAGACAAATTTTGTAAGTGGGCTGGGGGATTAACATTGACTTTGAAAATGGCATATAGAATGAAGTTGAGAAAAACGCCAGGAGAATTAAGAAGAGAGACAAGAAATGAGCAGAACTCTATGTTCCCAAAGTCAGAGTGTTATATCTATGCTGAATAAAGATTGACTTTAAGAGGATATTTAGAGGATATTAAATGCTTTGTGAGTTAAAGGAATTTGTTATTATGATATTGTGACTTTTAATAAGAAATATATATTTGGTCTTCATCCCAGTTCCTGGCACCAAACTCCTTTGGAATTTCCTACGTGATTAAATCAGTAAAGGTGTCATGTTAATGAGGTGACTTTTGGATCCCACTTAAGACTGGAGACTGGTTGCCAGAACCAAGCATGTCATTAGAGGGTTGAAACTTTCAGTCTTACCCTCCTGACCTCTGGGAAGGGGAGGTGCTGCAGGTTGAATCTATTGCCAATGGCCAATTATTCAATCAATCATGCCTATGTAAAGAAGCTTCTATAAAAACCCAAAAGAATGGGGTTTGGAGAGTTTCCAGGTTAGTGAATGCATAGAGATAAGCACATGGAAATTGGGGGAAAATGGTGCATTCAGAGAAGCATGGAGGCTCCAGGCCCTTGTCACATACCTTGACTCTGCATCTCTTTTATCTGGCTGTTCCTGAGTTATACCCTTTCATAATAAATTGATAATCTAGTGAGTAAATGGGTTTCCTTAGTTTTGTGAGCCACCCTAGCAAATTAATCAAACCCAAGGAGGGAGGCATAGGAACTTCTGATTTATAGCCAGTTGGTTATAAGTATAGATAACGACCTGGACTTACAACTGGCATCTGAAGTCCAAGGAGAAGGTTGTGGAATCCTCTAGTTTGTAGCCAGTTTGTCAGAAGCACAGTTGACAACCTGGATTTGTGACTGACTTCTGAAACTGGTGAAGAGGACAGACTTGTAGGACTGAATGCTTAACTTGTGAGGTATGATGCTATCTCAATGTAGATAGCATCAGAATTGAGTTGAATAATTTTGGGACAATTGCTTGGTTTTGTGTGGGAAGCCCTCCACATGCACAGGTTGGAATTGGGTCTCAGAATGGAAATCAGATTCAATTAATAGTGAGAGAATATGTGCTATTTGTTGGGAACTGTGCTTGGTGCTGATAATATCAAGAACATTAACATTAAGACACAAAGTGTGATCTTAATGAATTCATTGGCCACTGTGGAAGGCAGACAAGTAAACAGCAAGTTGCAGGACCATTGTAGTATTGTAATAAAGTTAGAATACAAATTATGGTAGAAGCACGTAGACTTTTTGGAGTGATAAGAAGGGAAGACTTCAAGGAGCAAGTTGCTCCTGAGTTGACCTAATTTTTCCAAAGAGCTAATAACACTGTCTTAAAGGACTTCTGCATATTTTCACACCAGAGATTTTAGAGGTGAGAGTGTGGCCAGTACCCAGATCTTGATGTAACCACAGCTATATCTTTTTAGAAAGGCAGCTCAGGTTCCTAGAAGAGGGCTGGTCCTTAATGACAACTCATTAGTGTTCCTTTCTGGAAGATGAGGATGAACTAGTTGAAAAGCTTACATTTCTAATTCCTAATTCTGTTGTCAAGAATCCTCTGATGAAGCCTGAGCCTCTCAATTAAACCCTCACTTTTTCTGGGCAAGAGGTAGAAACTGATATACTTTGTTTATCTTGGAACCTCATTGTCCTTGATGACTTATTTCCATAAAGAGAAGACTCTCAAAGGTGCATAGTTAACTCAGTTGTCTGTGAACAAAACTCTGTAGTTGTAGAACATCTATTTATCTCACAGTGTCAGAAAAAAATAGTAGATTCAAATAATACCAATCTCCCACATCACCAACATACTATGTCTGGCCTATAGTATAGTCCAGTTGACTAAGCCACTTTATATCTATGATAGTCTATGCTGGACTATAGAGAAAGCCCAAGAATCCCTCCTGTCATCCCATGCTCAAGGATAGAGATCACTGCTGTAGATTAGTCATTTTTTAAATTAAATTTATTAAGGTGACATTGGTTAATAAAATTATGTTTCAAGTCTACTATTCAATAATTCGTCATATGTATATTGTATTGTGTGTTCAACACCCAAAGTAGATTAGTCATTTTTAAGGTCATTCTATCTGCTTCCATACAAACACATGGGATTTTTCACTATATTATAAGAGAGAGTTAACAAGTACATATGACCTACTTTCTGTCCTTTCTTTATACTGCTTCCTATGGCGAGCTTGTGAGTAAAATCACCTTCAGAAGTTCCAGGCCTGGTCTGAAAATTGTTTACAGCAAAAAACTCTAAAAATTGGAAAAAAAACTCTTATTATTGGTTCTCTTAAAATCTAATTCCTGTGGTTTCCTCTCTTTTTTTTTTTTTTTTTTAATTCTAGGCTCACTCTGGACAAAGCAAAGAGAGTTACCCTGCAGTTCTGCCTGATTGTATACAATTTTTCATTGGCATGGGGGTAGAGAGGGGCAAAGCCTAATAGCAAAAGAAAATTATTTGCAAGTCACTGCTTTTTACATGGATATTTTTTTCTGAGGACCTCATGGAGAAGTGTAATTGATCAAAATAATACCTGTATTTCTGGTTCTCTTTTTCAATTAACTTTATTTGACTCTATTAGCAATTGTCTGTTTAGAAGAAAAACCTCATTATTTTATTCCTTAATGTGAGAAGTCTCAAAATTGTGTTTTCTTTGCTTATGTCTCAAACAAAAGTGCCGAAAGGAGTGAGATAAGCATAATAGACCTATGTTGAAAGTGTCATTTCAGATCTGGGAATACTTTTCAACTGATTCATCATGTACACTGTCAATTCCTCTAAAATTGAGATCTCCACCTTCTTCCTGATTGGAATCCCAGGACTGGAGCATGTTCATGAATGGATCTCTATTTTTATCTGCCTCATGTACTTGGTGGCCATTTTCAGCAATTGCACCATCCTCTTTGTGATCAGGACAGAACCCTCACTCCATGCACCCATGTACTATTTCCTTTCCATGTTGGCTATCTCTGACCTGGGCCTGTCCTTCTCATCCCTTCCCACTGTGCTGAGCGTCTTTGTTTTCAATAATACCGGAATTTCCCCAAACGCTTGCTTTGCTCAAGAATTCTTTATCCACGGATTCACAGATATGGAGTCCTCTGTGCTCCTGATCATGTCTTTTGACCGCTTTTTGGCCATACGCAGCCCTCTGAGATACAACTCTATTCTCACCAATGCCAGAGTTGCTAAGATGTGCCTGGTGTTTTCCATTAAAAGCATGCTCTTAATGCTCCCATTTCCTTTCACTCTCAAAACATTAATATATTGTAAAAAAAGCCTACTTTCTCACTCCTATTGTCTGCATCAGGATGTCATGAACCTGGCCTGTTCTGAGAACACAGCTGACTTTTTCTATGGTTTCTTTGTTGCTCTCTGTATGATGTCAGACAGTGTGTTCATTGCTGTGTCCTATGTGTTCATTCTGAAGACTGTGATGGAAATTGGATCTCATAAGGAACGGCTCAAGGCCCTCAACACCTGTGTCTCCCACATCTGTGCTGTGCTCATCTTCTATATACCCATCGCTGCTTTAGCCTTAATGCACCGCTTTGGCAATTACAATTCCCCAAGTGCTGTAATCATCTGTGCTGACATTTTCTTGATAGTGCCACCTTTGATGAATCCCATTGTATACTGTGTGAAGACACGGCAAATTCGTGAGAAGGTTTTTGGGAAATTAGGTCTAAAATAAAGGTATGGGGAAAAGTGAGGCAGGGTCAGCCAGGATCAGAGAATAAAATAATTTCTTTCTAAGGATTATGGATGATTTATTCTTATGTTTATTAATCATTCTCATAACCAATAGAGCATATGTGCTGAGCACTGAGGTCTGTGAACTTGGGACTGACATGGGCATTGACAGGTATGTATAGGATAGTTTACAATATTATTAAAATCACAAATTAGTACACTAACATACAATTTTAGTTACATTATTTACAGTACCAGGATAAATACACATGGAAGTAAATGTCATGCGTTTGAGAAGTCAGAATATGATGATAAATTACAAGCACACAGAACATCTGGAATGATAGAAAATCTATTGGCAAAATTAGTAAAGAGTAGCTGTAAATTTTAAGCCAAAGAAGCTATTCTGAAAAACAGTTCATGTCTTGTTTAAGCACAAGGAAAAGCAAGCAGATTGTTATGAAAGAAACATGGAAGAGTACTTATCCTCCTTTTAGAATTTGTCTTCAACTCAGAAATTCAAATCTTTATAAGCCTGAAATGGCCCAAGTCAAAGATTGTGAATAAAATGTTTCTGGATCAGAAGAGTAAGTAGGCTAAAATTTGTCTGTTTTCCTCATTATAATACAGGTTTAATGCATTTCCAATCAAACTTCCAATAATATTTCATTGAGAATTTACCAAAAAAATTCTAAAAATAGATTTCCAAGAGTAAACTGAAGAGTGTAAGATAAAAATAAATAGAAATTGTAATAAAGTTTTATATGATAGTGACATTTATTAAACTATATAATTCAGTGTAGCTAGCTCAGCAAATCAATGAGAACAAAGAAATAGAATAAACACACTGTAATATACCATACATGATATGAAAATAATATATAATTAAAGAATATCAGAACATTATTGAAAATAGATTGATTATTCAAATAATAGTGATAGGAAAAACACAGTCTTCATAAAACCATATCTGTATGATCTTTTATCACACATGAAAATAAACTAAAATAAATTAAGAATTAAATACAAAGATAATTTAAAAATTCACTTAAACATAAGTAAATAAAGTAAGTAATCTCTGGATTGAAACAATTTTCTAAGGAAATAACAAAATGGAAAAGTGTTACATGTTTTTATTGAAAAGCAATTAATTAGGTATATGAGTAACATTTAAATAGTGTAATTTAGAAGATAATAACATATATATATTTAATGCTTATCAAGTACCAGACATTAGGCTATATAAACTTGCCTGTATTAACTCCATTAACTTTTGCAAAAATTTGGGAAGGTGGATCTCATTATTTCTCCCTATTTTGTGGATTAAGAAATTTAAACTTTGAAAAGTTAAAAAACATTTCTAAAGACACAGAAATATAAAATAGTTGGAGCTTGAATTTAAACTCAGGCAGTATATTTTCAGGCCTACAACCTCATCCAATATACGCCTCCTTCGAAATTTAATAATGCACATTCTAGGAATCTAAGAACATAATCAGAGGTATGATCAAATATATATTTATAAGACTATATATCAAGGTTTATTTTATATGATAAAAATACTGTAAACCAGCAATTTCCAACCTTTTTGACACCAGGGACCAATGCTCCTATTAGAATCTAATGCCTGATGATCTGAGGTAGAGCTGAGGCTGTGATGCTAGCACTGGGGAGTGACTACAAATACAGATAAAGCTAAGCTCATTCCCCTACCCCTCCTGATGTGTGGCCTGGTTCCTAAGAGGCCAATGACTGGTAGGTCCAAGGCCCTGGGGGGTTGGGAACTCCTGCTGTAAACTACCGAAATGTTAAATAATAGGAAATGGTAACACTAACCATGATATACAAATAATATCAAGTATTAATCACCTAAGCAACACAGCATCAACCAACCACTAAGTGGTATTTACTTAAGCATTACTAAGCACTGATGTTAAGGAGTAAAGAAACATAAAACAGTTCTACTATCAAGGAGCTTACAATCTGGTGATGAGAACATGTAAATAAATAATTAAATCAGCCGAATAAAGTATCATAAGTTTAAACACACATATAGGAAAGCACAAATAAAAAAATAGTAACTTGCCTAGTTTAGTGGAGAATCAAAAAAAAGCTTCCTGGAGGAAGTTAAATCTAATATAAAATACGATTTAATAGAAACAATAATACTATCAAGCAAACAAATAAGATGTACATTTGAATATACACTATTATCTTAGTTTATAACTACATGTGTGTGATATGTTAGCTAACTAAAAAAAAAAAGATCATATACAATCTCTCATTAGTAGTATTGTGAATAATTTTTATCTTTAAAATACTTTTCTAAATTTCTCAATACAGTATATCGTGTATAATGGTGCTAGACTAAGAAATAAGGCTTAGGGGTTCTTCTCAAACATTTTTTTTTTTTTTACCACAAGTCATAGTAAAAGCAAAAATTACACTGCAATCTAATACATATATATATGTGTGTGTATATATATATATATATTACAATCAGAAAAACCTCCAAATAAATAGATTCCTTGAAATAACAACAAAGCACAAATTTATGTCTTCTTAACAATTACTATAGGGATAAAATACACTGATGAAAATGTTTATGTATTGAACTGGTAAGTTGCATTTTGAGTCAGATTGAAAAGTACATTTAGATTAATAAAAGATTAACATACAAATGGCTGACTGCCTTATATGCTGACTATCATAAAACTGGAAGAATGATTGCACATACTTACAATTGTTTATCTAAAACCCTTGGAATTCAGATTTTTTATACTTTGAAAGACTCTACAACCTTTGAAGCATTACCCTGTATTCAGCACAGCTATATTTCTGAAGTGAAATGTGTGAGTATTCAGCCAACGTGGAATAAATAATGATGGTAAATATATTCACATCAGTTCATGTTATCTTTTGCTATGATGTGAACAAGTTTTGGAACCAAACTTATAAAAAAAAATATTAAAGGCTTTTCCAGATGTTTTTAAATTTATGAATTATAAATAGAGTTGTGGCTCTAAAAAAACAAAAGCAAAAACAAAAAAAAAAAACTTTTAGAAAAGTCTTCCAAAGAAGCAATTAAATTGATATTAATAAGAATTAATGAGGAAAAGTTTGGCTGGTTTAGATTAGGGTGTGATATGGGCTGTCTCCTCTGTCACAGGTTGATTTCAGGGTCAGAATCTCTGATATACTATGAAGCCCTCTAAGCCAACAGTCCCCAAACTTTTGGCACCAGAGATCATTGCTCTTATGAGAATCTAATGCCTTATGATCTAAGGTGAAGCTGAGGCAGTGATGCTAGCACTGGGAGCAGATGCAAAAGCAGATGAAGCTTCACTGACTTGCCTTGCCCGCCGCTCACCTCCTGCTGTGCAGCCTGGTTCCTAACAGGCCACAGACTGCTATCCATGGCCCCAGGAGTTGGAGACACCTGTTCTAAGAAAAATTATCTTTTCGTTCCTGTTTCTTAGTTCATCTCCACTGGCCTTTCTTTGCTACTGTAAAAGCCCTCTTTCTTCTCTAGGCACAGTAATACCTGGGCTTAAAAACATGAATATTGAGAACAATTGTTTGGTATTTTATATCATTCCCAAAAACCCCCAGAGAGTTTCATGTCACCTCATCTAGCACTTCTAACATGCTCAATCCTGTGGTAGTCCTTTACACCCCATTCCCATGTGATTCTTAGCTAAATCATATATCTAAAATTTTTATCTAAATTCACAAATTCTTTTGTCTCTTTCCTTCTGGTTCTTCTATTCTGGGATTACTAGCAGACTATCTAAGAAAAAGGCTTCTATTCTTAATTCTTGTTCTAGAACAAGATATCTAGAAATTAGATGCATCTTGGGACTCTTGAACTTTTGCATAATTGCATTTTATCCAATTGAAGAAGATGGAACCAAAGAGACATTTCTTTGGCACTAACACAAGAATGGAAAATTGAAATTTGAAATCCTGAATTGTGGTATAACGGAATACGAAGACTTCGCACAAAGTGCATAAGGCCAAGAGACATTCTGACTACAGTGTTGTCCTTGAAGTCTAAAAACAGTGAATTTTATTTCCAAATGCACTATTTTCTGGATGACCCCACACTGGTTATTCTCCACTTAAAATGTTGGCTTTTGTCACATTATGCATGGGGCACACCAAAGAGATATCAAAAGTACCTGAATATGCTGTATAAAAGGGAAATTATACAAATAATCTTAACTGTTAATATTTAGAGAAAAGGGGATTGAGGTTTGAGCAGTCACGAAGTTGTCAGTGCTTGAGTTTGAACAGAAAATTGAAGCAAACAAACCAGTTTGGGAGTGGTAATCCCTGTATGCCCGGAGTAGGAAGTTCATGTAGGGGGCAGAGACAGGAGGCTCAGATCAGCATATCTGCTTGGTCCACTGTGCTCAGACATGAATTATCCTGGGTGGAACTAAAGTTTTATAACTCTGTGTGTGAAACACAAGTTAAGAGCATTCTCTCAACATCTTATCAACCCTATAGTGAGGTTACCTCTTCCCCAACAAATATTATTAAAGGTTATCAAAAGACTTTTTATGAAAAAGCATTAAGGTCACTGTGCAATTCTCCAATGACAAGTACTACACCAAAAGGTCAAGGAACCTAACAGCTAGGTAGAAAATGAACAACCCAAGAAACAAGGGCTAATAGAAAAAAATTGCAGTCCTGAAGCAGGGTAGACACTGAAGAGGGATGGTGGAATCAGAACCAGAACTGTACTAGAACATCCAGGCAATGGAGACAAAAATAAGGCAATGTGTGATTTTACATATTGAATTCAGTGGAGTATAACAAATAGCAATTGGAACTGTGAAAGTTTCACTTTTACTAAGAAAAAAAAGGAATTAAAGAAAATATAGAGGTTCAGGGAGTGCATCTGTAAGGAGGTGGGGCTCTCTAGAGGTGCTTCTAGGAACTGAACCCAGTGTGCAAGAATTTCCTAGAGTTTTCAATTACATATTTCTATGTACACATTTGTAACTTTTCTACTTACCAGCTCAAGGAAAAATTTCTATTGCCTCCTGAGAAATTTGACCACAGAAATAAATGATTCTGTTCAGCTAAATGCAAAAATAAAAGTGTTATCATTTTTTTTTTTGGTCTAAGAATTGTGTTTTTAAGCAGATAACCAAATTGAGAATAAAATTATCTTATTGTGTTTTTAATGTGCACAAGAGTCCGGTAATTGTTTTAAATGTTTGAGGAATATATACAAAATTAATTTGATTTTGCATTGCAGTGTTTTTTGTTTTTTGTTTTTAACAAATAGTCCGAGGATTTTATCAAGAACTATAGTGAAATATATTCAAGGAAAAATGACATTTTACAAAATATGAACTATATTAGATCATACTATATCTCTCAACTTACACCTTCTTATATTCTACAATAAATTTCTATGGTTGTTTTTAATCTAAGTCTTACCTTCTTAATTTTATTTGTACTGTTCAAAAATAAATGGAGATAGGAATAACTATTTTATTTTGTACTTGTTAAATGACAGAATATATACAACATATGTGATTTATCTGGTAAAGTTTCTTGCATTAGTTAGTTTCTTAATAAATGTCACTTGTATCTAAATTGCCTTACAATATAGAAATGTTTATTTGAATTTTAAATTCTTCATTGTTCACTCTTAACTGAGGGGCAGCAGTTACAGGTTATCTATAAAACACTTCTATTGGGTATGGAATGTGTTCCTGGGACACTGATGTGGGTTATGCTCAATATTTGGAAATTTCCTGCAGGTATAATCACAGAATGTTGCTATAAAGCTAAGATTTTTTTTAACTTTTGATAAGCTTAGGGGAAATTATTTTCTTCTTTCTGCACCTATAATTTAATTGAAACTGCCTAAGTTTCAAAATGCCTAATAATGAGATAGACCCGAATCCCTTTCCTACTTAAATGTGATTTATGTACTGGCAAGTTTTCCCCTTCAATCCCACCCTCCTCTAAGACTCCTCACATTGGGGCCCCGTGAACATTTAGACTGGAGCAGCTGGAGCATAGCCTGTTGGATGGTCTTGGTCTTCAAGCTGTAGATGATAGGATTCAGTACAGGTGGTAAGAGCAAATAAACATTGGCCAAAATGCTACAGACTACCCTTGAGGTTGAGCTGAGGAGACAGTGTATAATGGACAAGCTGATCATTGGCATGTAGAAAACAGTGACAGCACAGAGATGACAGACACAAGTGCCGAGAGCCTTTTGCTGCTTCTTAGGGGCCGCAATGCTCAGGACAGTACGGAGAATTAGGACATAGGAGAAAAGAATAAACAATAAGTCGGTGCCACTCAGGTAGAGCTGAAGAAACATGCCTAGAGAATTGCTGATCCAAGCTTTGGAATATGAGTATTTGATCACATCTGGGTGGTAGCAAAATGGGTGGGAAAGCTCCTGGCCCCCGTGAAAAGATAGACTCTTCAAGAATAGAGATATTGTAAAGATGAAAATTACTTGTCGTATGCAGATGATCAGTCCAATGACCATGATCGTCATGTCTGTGAGGATGGTGGCATACTTCAGTGGGTTACAGATAGCCATGAAGCGGTCAAAGGCCATGGCTACCAGCACTGAGGACTCAAAGAAAGAGAAGGTATGTACAAACATCATTTGAATTAGGCAAGCATTAAAGCTGATCTCCCAGGCATGAAACCAGAGAACTCCAAGCACGGTGGGGAGAGTTGAGATGGTTAGACATAGATCAGCAGCTGACAACATGGAGAGGAAATAGTACATGGGCTTGTGGAGACTCTGCTCAACAATGATGACAAACAGGATCATGCTGTTTCCCAGGAGGGCAATGATGTAGAGACAGCAGACAGGGATAGAGATCCACACATGAACCAATTCTAGCCCAGGGAACGCAGTGAGGAGGAGGAAGTGTGAGGAGGAGGATGTAGTGTTATTGAAAATTACCATGGTGGGTTGAGGACACACTCTGAAAAGAGAGAAAAAAATTGAAGTGTTTGTTATATTGATCCTTTCTGTCAAGCCCTGAATCTTTGATAAACTCTTCTCAAATTACACAATAGTTCTTCTGTATTCAAAACCCCCAATCTAATTATGGTACCTATCACATCATTTCACAGTATCTTGAATTTTTCTTGTCAGAACCTGGCCTCATTTTTTTTCCCTTTACTCTCTCCCAGTTGTAGCCATCAACTTCTCTAGGCTCATCCCCATCCTGCTGCCCAGACTAGCCCTTACCTGAAGTATGAAATGCTCATAGACTTATGTCAAAAATATGTTATCAAACAAAACAACAACAAAACAACAAAACAACAACAGTTACCACAATAACAACCAATGGGTCCTTGTATTAAGTCTCCAAATTATATAACTTTCTCCAGAAATAACGGAGAAGCATATAAGAGCTACTGGACACCTGTGACAGAAATATCTATGATGTCCTTGCTAGAAGCTGGTCTGGAATATTGTATCCAGAGATATCCTTGTACCTGAATCATCAACCATCCTCTCCTAGTAGTCTCTATTAGAAATCTCCTTTTGTATCAGGGCTTCTTTATTCTTCCTCTTATAATAAAATCATTTCTATAATTTCTCCCTTACCCACTCCACATATGTATGGGACTTAGATTCATCTTGTACTCTAATTCTGTTTCTCTCTGCACTTTTCCAGGTCTACTGAAATAATAGGGTCTTGCTCTCCTTTTCTTCATCTTACACCTTAAGATACTTGTTTCTTCCCATGAATAGCTATCGTATAACTTTGAAAAAAACCACTATGAGTTGACTGTCCTAATTAATCCAGGGAAAAATTCCAAATAGTATTTGGAATACATGACTTAGGCCTAGTCTATGCATAGTAGGTAAGCCTAAACAAAACATTCATATGAAAGGCCTGGGAGGTACTTAGCAACATGTGATGAATGATTTTGTAAAAAGCATGAATGGGATAGAGGGAGGGACTGATAACTAAAGGGAATCACTCAGGGATTAGCAGGCTAAGCTGACATTACAAAATGGAATATTAAGTAGTTCACTGTGTGAGAAAGTTCACAGAATGATAGCTGAAAAAAAAAAAAAAAAAGATAGTGCCAAAGAAGAGGCAGAATCTATAACCTATATTTAAAATGAACATTGTGATTTTTTTCAAGATGTGTTTACAGAGTGCTGGTGTCATCACTACTGACTTTTAATTTTTTACTGAGGATATTTAGTCTTCGACAGAGAGCTAACAAGGAATGATATACCTAGCCCAGTTGTGCAGATATGGCCAGCCATAAGTATTCTTATTTTTCAGTAGTCTTAGGTTTTCTGCCTTTGTGTTTGAGTAGATACAAGAAATTTATATCTGAATAGATATATAATAGAATTTTCTAGCACCAGACTGCCAGTTATATAAGGAGAAATTTGAGGGGTTGTTAATAATTTTCTCCCCTCTTCTTCAGTCTATTGAAGATGGTGATAGAAATAGTCACTGTTACTCCAAAGGGAAGAAAAAAAAGACTAATTGCTTTTTCTGCTATAATATTTAGTATAATTATATTACATATAGTTGAGAAAGAACACCAAGAATCAGGAAAACTAATGCCAACTGAGATATGGATTAAACATGCTGAATAAAATCTACCACTCGGACTCTAAATCACTATTTTAATGCCAGTTACTGTGCTGATGGTCAGAGAGACAGAAATAAGTAAAAGACAGTATCTGCATTCAAAATTCTCTCAATCTAGTGGAAAGAATAATATGAAAAACCAAGGCAAAATATTAATGGAGGTCGATTACTACATGGGGAAACAGAGAAGACTAGCCAGACAAGAAAATAGAAGTCTTTGTAATATCTTAAGATTTACTTCATTCTTGTTCTCAGCCTGAAAACACAGATATTAACAGCAAATCTTCTCTGTGATAACCGTTTAGGACTCTTTCCACAATGTGAAATCCTCAATTGACTTTCCTCCAACAGTACTTTATATATGCTTTTTATGACACTAAAATCCCACTGCTTGATCACATTTCTTTCTCTCTCTAGGATGCTGGCTCTCTGGGAATATAAAACATATGCCTTCGACTTTATATTTTCTCCAGAGACAAGCACAGTCATTAGTACATGATAAAAGGTCAAAAACTTAATTTACATTAGACTTATTGATGGATGGTCACAAGGTAAATAAAGACTAGATGAGAGAAATATAGATTTAGCCTGGAAGTACTGAGGGAAGGATAAGCCAGAGGGAAATCATTTCCCCACATACTGGGAACATAAAGAGTATAATTGTCCTCTCATTGATTGGGAGAAGAAGCAGGATAGGTTGAGAGAAAAGGAAAAGAATTAAGATCTTTTATATATATTAACATTTAGTAGACATCTTATATATAATTTTATATAACCCCGGGGAAAATTGATAAGATGTTTTCTCCTATTTAAAAGAAAGGAAATGGACCTGACAAGGTAAAATAGTATATCAAAGGTAAAATAAATGCAGATTCAAAATTCAAAACCAGACTTCAAAGTCCATTATTTCTCATTAAACCATAGACCATTAGAAAAGCCAGGCTTATGAGAAAAGTTGAACAGTTGGACAGTATGATTTCCGTCTTTTAAAATACAAGAATTGTTTATATTCTATTGTATATCTGTGTGATTTGGAGAAGGAATAGAAATGAGAAGTAAGTAAAAGGGAGAGCAATGTCCTCATGGCTTATTTAAAGATATTTGTGGAGTCAGTCAACGTGTGCTTAAAAAAAAAATGCAAATGTCCACATATAACATGTTTGCATTGTGTGTGTCTCTGTGTGTTGGCGCATGTGGAAAAAAGTTTTGGAATGGAAGAGTAATAGAGAGATAAGATGATTATAAAGCCGACAATCATTATTTTCTATTCTTTGACTTATGTCTCATAAAGGACAAAAAGATGATCCTGGATGATGTAAGGGTTAGAAGGAGAGGAGGTAATGGCTCATTTTACTGGTGGAGAACTTGTTTCCTATAGAATGTAGACATGTGGACAGGAGAAGGACCAGAGGGCCTTCTCTCCAGATCCAATGAGCTCATACACTCTGGAACGAGTTGTAGGACAAAGTTCAGTGCCTCTGTTCATCAAGGTTTTCTCTGCACTGCCCACTAACCAGAATAGGCTACTGCTTTCTCTCTTTAGTTCTTCATCTGACTGGCCAAGTAGAAGGTAATATCTTTCAATTTATATACAGAAGGCTAGATTAAATGACTTGGATAAGATCCATTCAACTCATTAACTTGGTGATCCCAAGATTAACATCCCTGCTTTCTGCCATCAATAAATGCACAGACTTATCTTCTTCATTTACCAATCCCCACCTTCTGTTTATTTCTCAACACTGAAATCTATTTTGGCCACAATCTGGAACCTGCCCTAATAACTCCAAACCATGTTAACCTGAAACTTAGCCTCTGCTTCTAAATCTCTACACCACTTCATACGTGTGCTTTTCATTTGACTCTGTTTTTAAGCATTTTATTTTATTATTATTTTCAAGTATACAGTACATTGGTTAGACATTTCTATAGTTTATGAAATGATCCCCCCAATCACTCTATCACCCATCTGGCTATCACCCATCTATCACACATAGCCATTACATTACTGCTGACTATATTGTCTATGCCATACACCCTTTCCCCATGACCATCTCTCAACTATTAATTTATACTCTTAATAATGAGGCATGGTTGATATTGGTATTTTGTATATGCAAGTGTCATCTCCTTTATCTGCCTGAAGTGTGAGTTTCTTAAAAGTATGGTCATGCCTGTTTTTCTCCCCTCAATGAAAGCTACTAACACTCTGAAATAATAGAGCTTAAATTAATAATGTTGAGTGATTGCTGAACAATCTCTGCTCCAGAAAGAGAGTTCTGAATCCTATTTCCTTTTCTCTTTCTTTCTTCCATTCCTTCATGTCTTTCATCACTCTATTTCAATTTCTCCCAGGTTCCATTATACCCCTCTATTTCTTCATTCTA